ATATATATATATATATATATATATATATATATATATATATATATATTACAAATTTTTTGATCATCCTTGAATTATAACTAATATTATTCTAAAACATTTTTTTTTACAATGTTAGTATTTAATGAATTTTAAATGATCTATTTAAATAATGTATTAAATGAATTCCTTCTAGTTGAATTCATACTATACATAAGAAGATATTATTTTTGGTTCACACTCTTAAAACAACGTAATTCTTTTTCTTCCTTTTTATTCCTCTGAACGAAATACAAAAAGGCCGACCTCCTCTCCTGTTTTATCCCACCTATAGTTTAGATTGTTACGAAGGAGATGTAAGACTTGTTTAGAACATTGAAAAAGAAAACGTATTTTTGAGTGATCTTTCATTCGAGGAAAGCGTGGATGATGTAAAATATCCATGAATGTTAAATGATCTTAATCTATAGAAATTGCAACACAAGAACGCTGCTTTATGATTTCTTAGTATTTCTAGTTAAACTGAAGTGCTGTGAAAAGATACATGATACATTCCGATTCCATTTCAAATTGTAACTGTAAACCGCCTTAACAATACTTTATTGTTTTAATTTGATTTTTTCCAGCATCAAGCCTAATAAAAAATATACTTGTTCAGCAATATAATGTTGAAAACATACTTTGATACGTAACTTTTACGTTTGGATTTCATTCTAGAGTTACTAGAGTTACGATTGTAACCAGAAGTCGGTGCCCGGAAGAACGTTTTCTTTTTTTTAAAAAAAATATTTTAGCTCATCTATGATTCATACATTTAAACAGATTTTTAACAGATAAATTATCTAAGGTAAATTCTACCCCTGTAGTGTTCGGGTGTCATCCTCGTCACTCGAACGTGGTTGAGGCCGCAATTGCAGAAAAATGTGTGTCAAAATAATGTCATTAGATTTGGACGTAGAAGGAGTCTTATGTTAGGATTTCATTTGGATTCGATAAAAATGAGCTACGCTAAATAATAGTATGATTCCAAAGTGTTATAAGTGCTGAAATCCCTTAATTAATTGGATGAAACAGAATTGATTTCAAAGAAAATGAACGAGATATCTTATGTTATTAGTTCTAATTCAAAGCGATAGTAATTGCAGTAAGAGGTTACTACCGTTTTTTTTATTCCTCTGTTTTAAAGTTTTTCATACATGATATTTTAAATGAAAAAAAAATTAAATCCCGAGTTGTTACAATAAACCGGTTTAAAAATTAATATGAAATAAATATATATTGAAACAATATTTATTACAGTAATATCCATAGACATATCAATATCAGTAGAGGTATCACTGGTTTTTTGTTTTTGTTTTTTTAATTTTTAATGT